AATTCGAGATCTTCCCAATTCATCTCGTCCATTGGCACATAAGACATATTTTTTTTAAGACTAAAAATTTTCGAAAGAAAATAAAAAGAAATTCGAAAAATTCGAATCAAAGGGAGGAAAAAATAACAAAAGACTAGATGACACTTTTTTTTTTAGACTCACGAAATTTTTCGAAAATTAAGGGATAAAATTCGAAAAAATTCGAACAAAAAGAAACAAAAAATCGGACCAAAAGAAAAAGAATGGATAGAAAAAGTTTAACGAAACACACAATCAATCACTCTCAATGAAAGCACCAATGATGAAGGATCGTGTGTCGCGTTCCACTCGTCTTGTCTCGAACACAGCTTCACCACGGCCTTGCTCTCGACGATAGGTATGATGACTTGATTATTAGCCTAACTTTCTCACGATACTTGAGTTCACTCGGGTCTTAGCCTTTCTCACTCGATTTTGAACTGGCTCAGGTCTTAGCCTCACCAATTCGATTTGTATGATCGAACTCTCACGAATCCTAACACACGGTTTCGAACAAACGTTCTTTTCTATTTCATCAATTCCAAGACTCCTTAAAACAATGAGGGATGCTCCCTATTTATAGATCCTAACTCTGACTAATTCTAATCTACCTAGGAAACTTATTAAAGCAATAAAATATTAAATTCCTAAATAATCTAGATATTATTGTGCAAGAAGAAAACTAAATATACTAGAGTCCAAATTAACTTGATTGTCTTGATCTTGCTTGGCTTGCACTCCAAACAATCTCAAATCACACGCCCCTAAGTACTCGCACGCCGCCACACTTTGACCCCTTCTTGCGCGTGCCTTCGGAGCCCTAGTCTTGGTCGCGCCCGGTTTCTCGCGCACGAGCGCCTTACCCCGCACGTACGCGTGCACCGCCTCACGCTCGCCTAGACCTGCGCGGACTGCGCTTCGCGTCATCTGCCCCCACGCGCGCCATCATGCGCGCTATTTCTTCGCTGCCGCCCTTACGCGTGTATGCGTCCATGACGCCTATGGCTTCGCGGTGTAGGACTCTGGCGCCTGTGTTTAGTATAAATTTGATGGGCAAGGGGTAACCGAGCTACCCGACTCGGGTCGATCTCGAAGGAAGGCTATTCGGAGCTTTGTCTACTAGATGATCGTCCAAATCACAAAAATCGAAAATAAAATCCTAAACATTGTAAACAGTTGATTGGATGGTTGATTAACACTACTTGAACACTTAAAAACGAGCAAT